AAATGCAAGTATGCTGATCGAAAGGTTTATAACTCGTACTTTCATCAGCGGCTTTATCGATATTACGAGGGAAATTGATTTGATCGTACCAGCCGGACCATGTGACATCGATTTCATGGATCTCCCTGATAACCTGGATGATGTGTATCGTTGGGCGCCGTTTGGTGGTAACGCTTTTCTGGATGGTGAGATGGTGGAAGGTATCAGATGTAACCGAATAAAGGGTGCCTTATCTAGATATTACCCAAGATCTAGTGGTCTTAATACCGCTACTTCTTTCGGTGATTCTGAAATTGCCATTGCTTCTCGTGCTTGGATAAACAACAATGTTTACTCCTCTAGCATGTACCGAAGACGAAGGAATGAGATAAGACGGGGAAACCATTACGTGATGTTCACCACCAGCTATAAAAAGTAAGTCGATTCATGTTTTTATTGAGTTAACTTCTCACGCATCTTTCTTTTTCTATTTTTACCGTAGTCATTTCCACGTTTCCCGTCGCTGTTGGCTTGTAGGTGCTGTTCAGTTTTTTTTTAAGCATGTTGACTTGAATAATATCTCACAGTTTTTTGGCGCTAGTCGAAGTCTTGAAACACCACGACGTGGCATGACACGACAAGTCTGTTCCAATTGTCAAGGCTTGTTCAGGCTCAGCTCATGCAACATTCGCGGTCATCAATGTGGCAGACATTGAACATCAAGTTTGTTTAATTGAGTTTCCTGCCGATGGAAACCAGTTTTACGTCTTTGCCCCCTACTATGTATTCAACGATAATCTTCAAGCAAATAAAGGAAACCTTTCCATTTTGTAAGTTTTTGTAATTGCCATTCGTTTCATTACTTTTCTTTTTTTTTATGGAACACATGTCGAATAAAATAAGGTCATATTTTGTTGGGGCAAAATCATAATAAAAGAATCACAGAACCGAAAAAAAAGAACTACTAAAAAAAAAAAAAAAAAAAAAAAAATCTGGTTTTTAAAATAATAAAAAATGGCAGTTTGTCACCATTTGCTTCACGCAAAAAATTATTTTTTATACGGTAAACCATCAAATTCGGATCAATATTGCATCAAATTTTTGGCATATAGCAATCTAATTTTAACTTCGAGATAGTTTTTATAACATCTAAACTACGTATGGACGATTCTAGAAATATGTTTGAAGCATTTTTGTTTTTTTATGATATTATGATCATTTGTAGCAATCTTTTGCTCGAATCTTATTGGCTGGGGATATCGAGGAAATAAAAAATGGCAGTTATTTTTCCATTTGATTCAAAGTTGCTAGTATGTCCGCCATAGTGTTTACAAGCTTATGACACACGTCATTCCCCAACAACTTCAATTCCTGATGAAGTGCAATTTTTAATTAATTAAGATTCTGAACCTTGGCTCTTCTTTTAGCAATCCTCTGTCCCAGGAGGTGCCAAATGTTCTCAATAGAATTCAAATCCGGACTTTGAGCGGGTTATCGCCCAAAGTCTGCAATCCCAGTCTTCTCTTTCCACCACCTCGTATATCCTTCCTTTTTGGCATGGGGCACCGTATTCTCGAAAAATACAATCATGATCATGTTCCTCTATCAATGTTTTAAGCCAAGAGACATAATTTTGACCTCAACAATTGACATGTTTCTCTTGGTCGATAGACCCTTTAAGTGTCATCAAAAGACCCAATCCACCTGCCCAAAAACATCCCAATACCATAACTGATCCCTTGCCAAATGTGAATGTTGGTATAAAACAATCTATCTACATACCTTTCTCTCTCCTTTCTAAAAACTCTCATACCACTGTCGTTACGCCTGAGTGCAAAACGCGCTTCATCGGACCAGATTACCTTCTTCCAGTCATCTAATGTTCAATTCATCCTGTCATTGACCCATTCTCTTCGCGTTTCTTTATTTCTTAGACTTGAAAAACGGTTTTGCGAAGTGCATTCCTCAATGTCGTCAGGCTGATGGGATCGGCAGCCTTCGCAAGATTTTGCAAATGAAAACTCAAAGGTTTAAAGGAGTCTCTTTAACCTACAAGTGCAAGTGATGCTCAGCTCTTGGTGTCAACTTTTCTGGTCTTTCTGAACGAAGTTGGACAGTTCGTGATCCCTTCAGTTCAATACTTTTTTACGATGGTAACAACGGTTGCTCTAGGAATGCCCAATTCTTTGCCGATTTGGGTACCAGTTTATTTGGCACGCTTTGCCAAGCCGCAATTAACTCCACGATCGAAGTCTAAAAGTTCTTTGCTCTTTCTATAGGCTGTCTTAGTTATGTCAGTAAGTCGCATGGTAAATTGCTTAATAAAATTTGAAGCAGAGTTGAAGAAAGAAGGACTAGCTTTATTTATATTTCTGGCTTAAAATGGAAGTGTCGAATAATTTCTGCGCGGAATTGTAATCTTATGACATAAAAATCATAAAATTTGAAATCAAATGATATGTAAATACTCGTAGCAGACCTAGAGATTATCCCTCAGTTTTTTTTTTCTTTTACCAATTTTTCAAATAAAATTGGTCATAGACTCGGCTCGCCGGCTTTTTAATTTTTTATAGAGTAGATTTTGGCTTAAATCGTTTCAAGTGTGCTCTCAGACATTTCCGAGCATTCAACACCTGAATATAACCCTTTGGTCACCATTGGTTCTATTTTTAAGGCTGTGATGTTTTGAGATAATAATGTGATGACCTAGCAAGGCTATAGCCATATTAGAGCTAAGAAAGGTTTATCCATGCTGATACCATTTGGGATATAAGCTTAAAAATAAATGTCATAGTAAGAACTTTAAGGATATTACATGACAAGTCTAATTTAGTACGTCTGAGAAATACTTAAAATTTAGTTTAAAGCAAAGATAGTTAAGAAGACTTAATGTTTATTAGAACAAGACTAAATTAGTGACTATGTAATAATCGTATACATTTTTGGTTAATTAATGATAACTTCAAGATAACATTAGAGATATGAACACAGCAGACAGTCTTCTATATAAATACTCGTATATTTCATTTATCACTAAAGGACATCATATAAAAAGTCTCAAACTATTCCTATAGTCTTTTTATAATTTGACTTTACCTTAAAAGACAGCATCTGTAATTACCTTTGAATTGATAGACGATACACTACGCCATGTCATCCACAAGGGAACCAAAGTGCTGACGCTAGTGTAGAATGCCTCTAACAATTTTCGGAAAAATAGGTGAATCCAATGGTAGAAATCAACGTCACTATAATCCTATCGTTGCGCCCTGCATGAACAGATATACAAAGAGCAAAAAAACTTAAGTCTCTGAATTCACTTATGTACGTTCGTAGAGTTAAACTACCTGGTGACTATGCTAGTACTGTAACATTTCCACTTCCAAAAGACTTGATATCAATCAAAACGTTGGAAAAAACGCATTGTCTACATGAAAGGCGTTGTTTTGTCCTCATTCCATGTAAAAACTAAAATTATTAATGAGGAAAGTAGTAAACAATATAAGGATAAACACTTACTTTTCGATATCCCTGATGGTACACACGCCATAGATCAATAGAAGAGTAGGCCAAGTAAACCAACACCACTATATGACGAACCATACATAGTGGCGGGAAAGAATCAAGGAGGATCGTTGGACTTGAAAGATGAGAAAAATGAGTTCTTTCGTCGAAACTACACTCATTCCTAGTTAAAGATGGTAAACACATATGAGTCACACCTTGAAAACGATTTGTATGAAGTTGAAGACATTCGTGTTCATCATCGATCGTCAGGAATCAGAGATTTGTTTGTTAAATGGCTGGTTACTGCGATCGTGCTAAGACATGGCGAAAGGCTATTAATTTCACAGACCCTATACATGTACAGGGTTATTGGAATTGAGTTGATTCTGGTGCTGAAAAGTAAAGAACGCGAAGAGCCTCTACTGAATCTACCATTGCGAGCATGTCGCAGGATTCCGCATCGTGGAATGTAAGGAGCAAAAAGCTGAACAATGTCATAAAGAAAACACAAGAGAAGATTTGCCGTATCCTACATATTGAAAGTAGAGAGGACAGACTCAATAGACAAAGAGAAAAAAAAGAGAAGATTGTAAAGCATAATGGCGCCTCACACTTACATTGGTTTGGCAGTCACTGATTATGGCAAATAAATCGACTTGATCTGCGTACACAATAATGTAATATTTGTAGTTGACCATGGCATACTGGTCATGTCTAATTTAAATTTTTCCCTCTTAACAGGAATGTTGAAACTGGTGGAAGACAATGTTGATGATATTTTGGATATAAAAATAAAGTTAATTGTCACATCACATTAAGAATGGATAATAATATCAATATTAATTATGAATCACGCATGACCCCGCATAATTATAAACATTTTTAAATAGTTTTTATGAACTACCTAGGTTTCTGTTGTATATAATCATGCAAACATTTTCAGATTATTCTTAAAACCAAGCTAGCCCATGGTTCTTGTCCAACCTGTTCCCTGTTCACTGTCTTTTGTCACACATGTCACTGACAAACATCATTATTGTATCCTGTCTAAAGTCTTTGTTCCAAATAATGTACTTCTGTTATCCCTTGTCTTTGTGAACCCCATTTAACATCCGTTTTTTTTTTGTACTTCTGCCTTTGAACTCCCTTGTAATACATTGATAATATCAGCCCATGTTATCCCCTGTATCTACTCCCGAAATTATCTGCATCTATGCCCGCTACCCCAGCGATGTCTCAAACTCAAAATGACTAATAATATGTCAATGTTAATTTAATCCCCAAACCCTCTTCATAGCGAAACGATGTGAGAGAAATTTATTGCTTAGCCCAATTCAAATGATGTGGAGAAATCTAGTGTCAGATCTCGTGTGACACTGGATTGCAGTGGACATGTATTCCATTCAAATTGATGGAATATTACCTATATATTTTTGGCGGACTAAATGTTGGCTTATTTCGTCAGAACCTTGTGAGAGTGCAAGTAGACACATTTTATTGTTGAGAAGAGCCGACTACGTAACAATGTTTGTGCAAAGACTTGAACACCTTGTTAAAATATATACTGTCAATTCTTTGTCAATCCCGATAAATCTTTTGATATGATGAATATAGACTGAAAACCAGGTATTTCCACAACAGGGGCATCCTTCAGTTACACCTAGTTTTGTAACTGTCCATATTTGATAGTGTTATATTACCCTATTATTTTAAAATAACTTTAGCAAAACCTGTGTCAAAAAATGCAAATCTGCTCTGTTGTACCTGGTCTCTGTAACGTGTTTGAAGCCCCTCATTTTCGTTTTCTCTAAAGCTGTCAATCAACCTGTATTTCCTTTTCATAATACTTTCAGCTTCAACGCCTATTCGAAACTAACACAAGTTAGTTTTTTATGCAGTTGCAGATGCATTACATTCTGATTTAAACTTACATTAGATGTGCTTGGACCAGGATCACCATTCTCTACCAAGGGCAGATCAGGTGTTGGTGTTCCCTATGTTTGTGCCTCAGTCTTATATTGAATTCTAAAAAGACATTACGCTATTGAATCTTTCTCGTGTGTTCTGATTTCCCCTCCATCTCATTTCGTGATTCTCTCTTTGTTTTGCTTTTCGTAAAGTTTCTCGCTCTGTTTTGATGTTTAAGTAGGATCTGCTCATTTCGGCTGTAACAATAATTACTTAAAAATTTAAAAAGTCAAAGAAAGAATAAAAGAAACACAGGACCCGTCTCTCAGTTTTTTTTTGCCGTGACTGCTATTAGTAAAACGGAACCCGAAAAATCAATAGCAATCTGAGAAGGCAGAAAGATTAAATATAAGTTTTTTAAAGAGGCTTTTTTTTCATTTTCATTAATATTAAAAAATCCTGACCCGGACATCGTGGCAAAAACCTTGCCACTTTTCTGCACAGTGGATACTCGGTGGTAGGTTTTTAATTGGATGAAGAAAAAAAAAGAAAAAAAAATTGAAAAGTGAGTGAAAATTGTACCCTTTTTATACCTTTTGTTTCCCCTTCAAAAACATTGTTGGGGTTTAAAATCATAGGACCGTTTTGTGACGGGGGATTTGATTAGTGCCAATAAAATTTCGTGTAATAGGGAGTTTGCTGCGCAATACCATTGTGGCACGCGATACTAGTCCCTCCTACGTCACACAAGCCTATCTCTTTCCAATTAAATTTACTTTATAAAGAGCATGCAAACACATGGAACGGTGAAGGTGTTTTCGTGAATCAAACCACCCAGTTGATCAGGCACTTCTGTTAATGTTGACATCTACGTAATGAATTACAGTCACACTAAAGTGGGAACTTTGCAGCACAGATTTTATGCTTGGTTTTTGAAATTTACTTTCCCTATTTTTTACATTAACATAAAAGATTACTTATCGATTTCAAAATGACCATTTCAGAACTATCAAACATAACTCACACGACATATTTAAACGGGAGAAAAAAAACATAGGCGTTTATTGGTTGTATAAGGTGAACTTTTCCATGAATCGCATTTTAAAAGAGGTTGGCAATCCGAATTCAACAGTCGAAGTCATCCTTAATGGAATTAAGGAAAATGAATCACTCCTGAAAAACCAAATGGTGCACATAAAAAAAATGAATGACAAAGATCTAAGATGGCTAGAGGGAATAACATGACGTGAGTCGTTTGCGTCTTTCGAGAAAAGAATCGTTGGAGTTCAACTTCATCATATTGACATTTACAGAGCTACTTTGATACATTATTTGAGACAAATTGGCTTTTGCTTTTACGTGGCGGCAAATAATAGAAAGACAACCAAATTTAACAAGAAAATAAGACTTCGATGGGCAAAGGAACCGGCTCATTGGACCAACAAACAATTGAGATGAGTTGTCTTGTTGGACGAGTTGCAATTAATAGTCAAAGGCAATGATGGAGGTGAGAGAGTTCTTCGCAAGTCTATTTAGAGGTATAATGAAAATCATGTGGTCGAAACAACTAAGTTCATACAGGGAAATATCATGTCTGAACCTGGTTTTAAGCCGTTGGTTTTTCTCTTTTGGTCTTCGTTGATAGCAATGTAAATCCGACAGCGTATGTCAACATTTTGACGTCAAAGTTTCACTTTTGGTAAGCTGAACTGTGTGAGGAAGAGCACAGGGATTATACATTACAAGAGGACAGCGCAAATTGCTATACTAAAAATTATACGAGAAGGTGGAAGAACACTCGTTCCATCAAGCGCTTGGATGACTGGCCCGCCCAAAGCCTTGAATTAAATTTGGTTGAGCATATTTGGTCTTCACTCGAGCCTTTTATTAGTGATATAGGGTCCGTATTAAGAATGTTGATAATTTGAGGAAATTTTTAGATGTAGTATGGGATAATATCAGCAGCGATCTGGCTTCTGAATTAGTTCACAGTATGACAAACATCCATCGAGCTGTCATTGAAGCAAAAGGAGCTGTGGTGATCTGCTATATTGTTGCTACATTAAATAAATCCATATCTATGACATCAATACATTAAAAATGAATAAGGAATCAATTACCTAATATAGATAGTTAGTACTATCGTATCACAAGGTTACAAGAACACAGTGACTAAGGCTTATTAAAGATATGGAAGTACAATGTGTCTAAGATGACAGGAATTCCAAGTGTAACATATTTACAAAATAAGCAGTTAAAGGTAACAGGATACACACTGGGAAAATGATAACAACTTCTAAAATACACTAAAGATAGTGGTACAGCAGATAGTCTTTTTTATATAAATACTTGTTCATTTTATTTCATAATAAAGACAATTTTATAAACCGTCTCAAATTATTCATAAATTGCCTTATAATTTTTACTTACCTCTAAACACAACATAACCCCCTCTTTTTGTAAAAATTTGGAACCCCCTCCATAAGGAAATTATAACCTTATATTTTCATACTCCTCATCCAAAAAACGTCGAAAATTCTTTAAAAGATAAACCACCATCAGAGGGTGGTTTAATTACGAAAATGGATTTTCAAACCCCTCTGATGTAATACTTTCATCATTCAAAATAAACTAAAATACCCCCACTAGTTGACAGTATGATCATAATAATTTTTACTTTGTTGTCTTCTTTTTTTATTTTTTGATAAAAAAAAACTAGCAAATAATATTAACTTTACCTTTATAAACAATGTTCAGTACCATCAACTTCAACGCCCCTTCCAATTCAACTGCTTCCACCTCCAGTGCTCCTATTGAGGACGACAGAAAAAGAGGTCCAAATTGGAGTGTAGCAGAAGAATGCTTGTTAATTCAAATTTATAATAAGCATTTGAGTTCTCTTGAAAAAACCAAAAGTGATCACGAAAAGGGGGAGAAGTACACAGAGATGTCGATTGAAAATAATTAACTGGCTCGCCGTCAGCATTTAAGAAGTCGGCCAACAGCAGAGGAGCAAAAAAAAATGGATGTGTATGGTGAAAGATTTTAAGGAAGAGTTTGCTGGATGCTAATCAACTGGTGAATCAGGTTTCGAACCTGATGTTGTTTATGATAAGCTGGAAGAGATCTTGACGAAGTTTCCCACAATCTTGCCACCACACACGTACTCATCCCATTCCAGACAATATCTTGATAATAGTAATGGTGTAAATCAATGATCATCTACCGCTCCTGTTGAATCTTCTTCTGCGCTACCCTGTCGTCCAAGATCAAACGTAGTGTGGTGACCTAGCAAGGCTATAGCCATATTGGAGCTAACAAAGGTTTATCCATGCTGATACCATTTGTGATATAAGCTTAACAATAAATGTCATAGTAAGAACTATAAGGATATTACATCACAAGTCTAATTTAGTACGTCTGAGAAATACTTAAAATTTAGTTTAAAGCAAAGAGAGTTAAGAAGACTTAACATTTATTAGAAGACTAAATTAGTGACTATGTAATAATCATATACATTTTTGGTTAATCAATGATAACTTCAAGATAGCACTAGAGATATGAACAAAGCAGACAGTCTTTTATATAAATACTCGTATATTTCATTTATTAATAAAGGACAATCTTATAAACAGTCTCAAACTACTCCTATAGTCTTTTTATAATTTTACTTTACCTTAAAACACAACACGTAGGCTCTACACCAGCCACTACCATCTCTGATACAGAAGACGACCTCTGATACACAAGCTATGCTTAATCGCATTGTTGATAGAGAGTATAAGCTTCGTAATGGAACATTTCGAGAGTTCGGAGAGTATATGGATTTACGATTAGGAAGACGAGATCCTACTGGAGAAGCAATCATGGTTTCTTTAAACCAAGTCACAGCTCCTTTGGAACGAAATGGTGATAGATTAAACGAATTGCATAATCGTATGCATCAACAAATACCCCATTAGTAAAGATATTCTTTTTTTTAATACATATGTTAAATTACAATCGGTACCTCTTTATTGTCTAGGTTGAAACAATCGGTTCAACTCATCTCTTCTTGTATGAACAGACTCTCTAGCTGTTTCGCTATTTCCCTCTTCATCTTAATCCATCTCGATTCCTTCGTCAATTTCAAAATCTGGATCCCCAATATTGATACAGAAATTGTGTAAGATACAAGCCGCAGTAATGACTTAGCATATATCTTTAATCTTCTTCATGAAGACGTGTTTTTTATGAACCTCCATCTAGCTGAGAGTATTTCAAAGGCCCTTTCGATGGTCATTCTTGCTGAAGAGGGGACCTTGTTGAATTTTCGTTTGGCAACGGCCTCGTCTGAATTGCCTGATACTTCACTCAAAGGATACGAAACAATTACATTACGACAGAGAGCATATGCAAAATCTAGAGAGGGTGTGTAAGTACATTATATGTTAACTATATAGTCAGTATAAAAATAACCTGCAAGAATGTAACTGTCCAAAGGGAAAAATGTTGCTGGTTGTCGTAAGAACTGGGTGTACACTTCAGTCCACTTGAAAGCACCTGCATTGTAGGTGCGATCTATAAATACATATCAGTAAATCAATCAACATGTTATGGATATTCGTTATTATCAGAGTCAACGATACGGATGTGCGTGAAACGGCATTTGTTGTCACAAATTGCCGTCAGTTTGATCGCAAAGGTTCCCTTTCTATCACGCCAATAATGTTCTGGGTGATCTCTAGGACATTCAATGACAACATTTTTACCATCGAGTACTCCTATTGCTTTGGGCAAGCGACGGATAACCCCTTCTTCTTGACCATGAGGCCATTCAAAACCCGTTTAAATTTCCTCACCCCTTTGCTGATCCATGAGCCAGTTGATAAGATCTCCATATACCCCTTCTATTGCAACCAAAAATCTTCGGAAAAAGTTGATATAACTACCATGCGATATACCAAAAGCCATGTTACTAGTTCTGTAACCAATATGACAGTTGGCTAAGCACTATACAGCACATGAAATCTGAATATATGCGGGGATGCTGTTGGGGGCTAACAGATCAAATGCAGGATGCTGACTGAGGTCGTTGACAAGTCTTTCGAAGCTGCTAAGATTCATGCGATACATTACTCGAAAACTAGTGCGTGGATTGTCATCGTCAGCGAGAAAAGGGTGCGTAATTGTCCAGTAGTGATAGTTGAAAAACGTTCCATTGTTGTTTGGACGAACTCGAGTTGAACGTGTTCCAGTTAATAAGAAAGGTA